CCTGTATATTTTAACCCACATTCAGCTAGAGCATATTTATTTTGAAAACAATTTAAAGGAAAATGTTCGAAAGATCTTTATCTTGAATAAATTGAAGTATATCCTGGATGGRTTGGAACTGAATTATTTCGTATACGATGAACTAATGATTGAAAATCGCTTGAAAGTTTTGGTAAATTCATTTCTTTAATTAATTGAAATAAAAACTTGAAAAAACACAACTCGAATACACGACGRATMAGCAGTAACTAAATKTAAAATTATTAACTTGCAACTAAATAGTAGAAATTAAATATATAAATTTTTAAAAACTAGAACAGTGTAACCAACGTGATTAAAAACATATAAACAATCTCCCTGTAATTTTTATAAAAATTAGCTATATTTGATTGAAAAAATTTAAAAAAAAGGGAAAAAATAGTTGATACGGTAAATATTTTTGTGTAAGTGGCAAATAGGTGGACAATCTTGTGTAATCACCGTATTGTGTTACTCGGTAAATCAGTGTGCTCCAAGGGAGAATTTTCCGCTTGAAAACAAATTTTTACCGTGGAAAAGCTGGCTGTGAACATACAAATATATACTACTTAAACATTTTAGATTCTGAACGGAGCGGTGAATTTGTATTGATTCAACAATGTTGTGTGTTCGTTTCATCAAATTTTGGGGTAACAAAAATGCTTCGATTTTATAGGTTAAGTAACCTAACCTAAGCATTTTTTTTTTTTTTTTGACAGGAAAGTGAGTCTAGTTGGTAATTAGCAAGAAAAAAAAAATACGAAAAAATCGGCAACTTCTACGCATAACCCGTAAAAATATTTTTAATTCGTTTATTACGACTCCAGTTTGTCTAACTACGATTCATTTTAAGGGTGTTTCGAGCAAAAATAACAGCAAACAGTATGTTTGGTATTTGTTACTATTTAAACGTCGGTAATACTATTAACAGTAAGTGTATGAATATTACTTCGTATCAGACAAGAACGTGATATTCATAGGCATAACTGTATATGGGTAGGCTCGTGTAACCACCGAAGTACCACACCGCACTGATTAGTGATTGACTCATCGTATATTGCCATGAATATTATAAGAAGCAATGTTTTGCTTAAATGACACTTCCGGGTATTCCGTTCTGACAAGAATAATTATTGATATTATGTGATATGTGTTAGCTATAATATGCAATTTTCAATATTTTTACTATACTATACGTATATTATAATATCAAGTATTAACTGTTAAAATGCTAAAATAAAAACGATAAATTGCCCCCCTCCCTCTGGCTGCTCCTCCGCTGCAGAACGGTAAGTGGTGAGTGGAGAGTGGGCCCCACACGCCCGCCTTCTTATAAATGAGTCTTACACTTCTTCACATCTTCCATATTTTGTAACGTTGAAAAAATACGTAGCATTTAGACAACAATTGTTGACCACAACATAGGAAATATCAGACGAATTAGTTTATTATTTCTATTATATTATTATTATTATATTGACATGTTACTTGCAGTTAAACAGTCATGTAATAGCATTTCATCAAATATATTGAAAGCAGTGTGTATGTTTTTTTTTTAAATTTTTCATCAAATTAAAATGAAAACTCTATAACGAATCCGAAGGGACCATGTGATTTCTTTCGTAATAGAGAGTAATTAATAGGTTTTAAATCAAACCAACCAAAGAGTTTCGTTATAAAGAGTTTTCACTGTAATATCAAAAAAGTATTTATGTCAATGAATATTAATTAATATTATATAAGATTCATTTTTCAATCAATATATGAATGAATAAAATATAATATTACGAGTAAACGTTTCAATTATTTGTACTAATTTTTTAAATTATTATTCGATATTTAGTATTTATGCAATAATTGCAATATTTTAATACCAATATGAAAACAACTATCAGAATTCCAAAATTCTTTACTATTAAAGAAAAAAAATTTTTGAATATATACTAGAATATTATTGTTAATTTAACTATCGTCAGTGTTAGGTTTAACGAATATTTAAATACGTTAAAAAAATAATTATTTATTTATTGATACCAAATGTATTATAATCTTTATGCTAGAGCAGTACATCTATAGCATAAGACTTATCAGCTAATACTAATGTAAATAATTAATTAATTAATAACAAATACAATATGTGATTTGTTAATCATCGATTCTTGAAACAAAGATTTTTATCTGCCGTTTTGGTTGCATAGTTTATGTTAGTTACCACTTACCACATATTATGTTTGTTTCGACGAAAAAGAACACATTTTCAGTTTAAAAATAAAACTCGAATCAAAATAATCAATCTGTGCAGTCTCGTCCCAAAGAATAAAATAATGATTGTCATAATAACGAAAACGTTTTTTTTTTTTTACATTTTTATCAACACCAAGTAACTTTCTAAGTCTAAAAGCTGAATAAAGTTCATCGATATCGATCGTGCAATATTATTCTAATAATACACCTATTACTCCACCGTTATATTTTTTTTAAATAAAAGCATTCAACGAGTGATCGACATTGTCTATGATGACCGAATACTACCTATAATATTATACATGTCTGACTTCGGCTTAATTTTAGTTGAAGTCCTTTATATCAAGCTGACAACATTTAGATATTACAATAGTCAAATCCAAAACTATTACACTAAAAACCCTTTGTGCACGAATATTATAACAATATTCCTGCAAAAAAAATATTATTCCGATTTCCGCGTGATTTTATCGTCTAAGTACCTACTCGATATTCGTGGTCACATCGACATGATGCAATAACGATAAACAGTGCCAAATGTTAATGATATCACACCACATCGCCTACCTCGTAATTAAAATATTACAAACAATTATCATGGACATTGGATGTAGGTAATGAATAAAAAATAAGACCAAATTTTTATGATATGTACATCGGAAATCGCTGATTTATTTTGCGGTGGCAATACTGATATTATGAATTACATATTATTGTACTGTTTGGACTATGGCATTTTTGAGTTTTCGATGGATGGACTACATAATAATTAACAGTTCTGAAAAAAAAAAAAAAAGTCTATTAAAATGGATATTTTAATAATAGTTATATCATATAATATTATACAATTTTTCTATTATGATCATAAATGCATAATAATACAATTTTGCTATATATGAAGAAGAATTCGTATGTGTTCATACCATTCAAACGAAAATTACCTAATATTATGTTTTTAAGTGCAATTAAAAAATTACTAAAAAAATGTTCCAATACATCTAAGATCAAAAGGGTAAAAACTGTAAAAAAAAAAATATATAATATCAATGGAAAAACCTGATTAAATGATATTATGAATGATTGTTAAGATATGTTTTGGTATGACTATTTTGTAAAATATAATGATCGCCTACATTTATCTACATTTAAAAAAATATGCAAATTCAAACTTTGTACTTAATTTTACAAAACTAATTCTATCTCAAATAAAATATTGAACAGACAACATGCAAATATAAAAAGTGTCTAATCAATGGGTATTATTCCTCACCTACGATTAAAATTTATAAGATAGATGAGCATTATAGAAAAAAAAAAAATAAGGGAATAGTCATTAAAATGTTTATGAATTTATATTATTTTCTTCTTGTTGTTTTTTTTTTTTTTTAAACATATACAAAACTAATAGTAATAATAGTGCAATAATCTTCATAAAATCCATAAAAATTTAAACCATACTATTTATATATATATAAAAAAAATGTATATTATATTGTATGACGTATTGTGTTTGTTTCTCCAAAAGTTGTTTGAAACACAATATTATAATTGAAGTTGAACAAAATCAGCAGCAATCCCACACTGCATTTGAATAATGTCATAGTAGTTATAATATTAAAAAAATCGCACTCACCATCAGTTGGCTGGTGGCTGGGGTGGCTTTGGCGACCGATTTGATGGCCTTGGCAGATTGGACTTGTCCGACGACAACGATGTTCATGGATACCTTTTCAGCGCCCATTTTGGTTGGGTTGGTTGGTTTTTGAGGGTTAAAGTGTAGACTAAAACAACAACAACAACAAAATCGGTTATTTATTTGAAACAAACAGTGCTGATATTACAGTTTCGTACTCACCAAAGAATAGATTGGCACAAAAAAAAAATGTGTTATGCCGGAATGGAGATCTCGGACGTCTTTATATACACTTGAACCAGCTTGAAGTGGGGGGCGGTGGCGTGATCGCGATATTATATTATTACTGTTATACCGTTAGACAACGGCCGTGTTTCGTCGTAAAACCATAATGTTTTATCACACCATCAAGTCGAATATGAAGGGTTTTAAAGGTCGAATGCCGTGTAATCAAAGAGAAAAATAATTTCGGAATCCACTTAATGCGTTTACGTTTAAATATACAAATCGTAATAACGAAAGGCGAATGTTTTAAAGGTAAAGGTAATAAACACACACTATAATTTCGTCGCCGTAAAGAATTTTGACGTTAAAACGAGAAGAATTTTTTTTTCTTGCTTCGTTTCAAAATCAAATTTCGAACGAGTTGTTAATTACTTCTAACTTTCTAAGTAGCTATTAATTAAACTTCCGACGAGCGAATAAGCGGTGTACCAACGTTTTTCGTCCCGTATACCTCTCCGCCCTTCACACCTATATTTTGCATAATGCCTATTATAACTTAATGCATAATAAGACGTTATACCTACTCGTTTGAAATTTGATTCATATAACATGCCCATCAACATTCTTGGAAAAATATTATTATTTGTTACATTATAGAGTTGAAAATTTTTTTTTACTGATAATATTACTGATAAAAAATAAAACAGATTATACAGGGCGATTCTTTTATCAAACAACACTCATTATTTTAAAAAGTGTTGACTTTTTTCCAATTTTTTTTTTTTTCAAAATTGTAGATTTACACTTTTCTTGAATTGTTTATTTCTTTTTTTAAATTTTATTAATTTTATTAACCTTTATATTTATTAGATAAACCACTATCATCTTTTGATTTTCAAATGGTAACCTATACTTAAAATTTCATAAATTAATAAAGCTATTTTAGATTCTAAACGAAGTGATGAATGTATTGATTATTATTATTATTATTATATGTGTTGATCCTTATAATTTTTTAGTTTTTTACTTTTTTGAATGACAACCTAGAGTTTTAATTTMATATTCCAAAGCAGAATATTTTTCTAAGTATTTTGATACGTAAAAATCGAATTTTGAACGAGTAGTTTATGAGTTATAAGTATTTAAAGTTTAGATTGGCAGAGTGGAGTGGTACGGGGTTACCCCKCAAAATGTTTGTCCAATACTCCGCTTGTCTAAACTTTAAATACTTATAACTCATATACTACTCGTCCTAAATTCGATTTTTATGTATCAAAATGTTTAGAAAAATATTATGCTTTGGAATATGAAATTAAAAAAACTATGTTGTCATTCAAAAAGCAAAAAACCTAAAAAATGATAAGGATAAAATTTTTTTTAAATATAATTATTTAATAAAAGCGTTGGTTTTTTGACAACTTGAAACCATGTAAGAAAATATTTTGAAAAGTCAATACTTTTTTATGAGTGTTGTTTGATAAAAGAATCACTCTGTATTTAAGACGATTAACGATCCATTCCAATTTTTTTTTTCATTATGAAGATATTAAGACCTTTTTAGCGCACCACCCGCGAGATTTCAGCGCGTACCACTAGTGGTACGCGTACCGTATAGGTTGAGAACCGCTGGAGATTTATACGACTGGGCTGCACCATCCTGTATACTATTATTATCGTTGTTTATTTTTACAAAGCTCCGGTTAGGCGTACTGCGATTTATTATAATCATAATATTATTACCACTGCGTTTTATATTTTCGTCGGAAATTTTCGGAAGGGTTTACAGTATTTTAATTCATTATCCGTATAACAATGGAAAAGATTCCCGCCATATCCGTCGCAAACGAATATATGGCGCGTATATGTTGTCCCACGCTGGGCCGTTAAATCGTTTCGGACTCGATAGATTTATAGACATAGAGTATTATATCGCTATGTATATTATATATATATATGGCAATGGTGTTATTCGATTTTAAATTGTCCACCAGCGGCGGCGGCGGCGTAGTGGTGTAACTTATGTGCAATTTCGCTTCGCATTTCGGCGACGAAACCCAAAATATATTACACCCGAGACCGACCTCGTGCAAACGATAACAAACGACGACAAGTGTCGTTCTCGTCTGCAGTGTGGCACCATTTCGGCCGGTGACGTTTTCGTTTTGCTGGAATAGGCGAATATACGCGTAATTTATAACCGCGACGATGTACAACTCGCTGCTGCTGCTGCTGCTGTTAATACCGTCCGGTTACCTGCGACCACTAACCGGGTATATACCACCCTGCATATTGAAATATAGTGTACGGCGTATTAAAGGCGATGACTGAGAGTTCACCAATACTATAATATAGTCCACCAATAACATAATAGATATTATTATTAGATTCACCGCGGAGATTGTGTCAGCATTTTCGTTGGTTATAAACGGTTACCACAGCAACATTATTATTTCAGACTGAACTGGGTAGGTACACATTATGATGAAGACATTTTACAGTTTTCGGTTTTGATTTTGATTTCGTTTCATCAACGTCGCGTTTTAGAGACAACGGTTATCTACGATGAACATAAAATTATAGTTAAGCGTCGTTGTTGATCGAATAACATTTGTAGTAATATTATTTCATAACTATTATTTTTTTACTTGATAATTTTTCCTATGATTCCTTATCTGCTGATATCTTTTCTCAATTTATATTTTATTACTATTGTTTCTTACAATTCTGTGTTTTTTTGAAAATTTTTAAAAATAGGCCCAAACAGGTTTACAATTTTCAGGTAAATTTTTGATAGTTATTGTTGTTCGAACGTGCTATTCTCACGACTTTGGTACACTAATAACTAGTTTAGCTCACGTGTAGGCTACCTATTCCTGCAAGGCTTTTGCAGGACAATCCGTTTTTGATTACCGCTTGATAATTTGGTTAAAAAATTAGAACCTTTTCAACGGATTGAGATAAAAATAATAGAACTACGTGTCCGAAAACGAATCCTTAGAGTTGCATGTGTACGGATTTTATTGACGAAAAAACCTCTGGCTCTCTTCATTATTTTATGAATCTGTCATGGGAGTTTCAAAGCTCAATCCTCTCGTGAACAGGTGGCCAAGGTTGGATCAAAACTGTACGCTAAAATTACTGTTTAAATAAAAAAATATAATATAATTTCATAATTCGTACGTGAATACAGCGGATTGCAAGCATTTATACAATAAACATATCAGATGAAGATTTTATAAATCACGGAGATCCATCTCGATTGCCTGTAAATTGTCTAATAAAACAATAAATTATCTATGTCTGTCAAAATACAAATCGACTGAAACGCTTGCTTGAGATATTATATTATTTTTTATAAAATGTAAAAAACATCTATTCACATTGGCTCCTAAAAAATCACGATTTTCCAATGATCCATACAATATCTCGTTAGACATTTCATGTTCCGGTTGCCAGTTTAAATGATATTATTCTAATGAATGTTCCTCCATGATTCGATCTATGAGAACTTAAAATCATATCAACGTTTATTTTATTTATTCGGATGTCATATTATAATAATATAGGTACACGCTGTTGTGTGGTGGCCTTAAATGTTGTTTGTGTATTGAAATATTTGACTATATATGTTATTTTTTCATATATCAACAGATTCTGTTTTATTATTATTTCCACATCAGAGAAATCCTCAATCAAGAACGGACCTCGAAGTCATTCAATTCATTACCAAATGCAAACTACTATTATAGTTAACCTACAGTATTGTAAATAAATTGCACTATTTAAATTGTAAATATTTAAAAAAAATTGTATTTTAATTTTAACCCAAATAAAAAAATATCGACTAATAACTTTAGCGGTTAAAGCATGTAACTCTGTAACTCTCTTTAAATAAAAAAATAAAATATCATTTCATAATTCGCACGTGTAAACAGCGGATTGCAAGCATTTATACAATAAACATATCAGATGAAGATTTTATAAATCACGGAGATCCATCTCGATTGCCCGTAAATTGTCAAATAAAACAATTATCTATGTCTGTCAAAATACAAATCGACTGCATTTAAAAATGTAATAACATTCGTAAAATATTTCAGATCGAAGAAGATACTAGAAAACGGTGTCTTTAAAATAAGAAATGCATTTACGAATTGAATCATAAACGATTCACTAGAAATCCGTATTCTGTGAATTCGTATAATAATATGTGCGTAAGTATGTTTCATTTTTTTATGGGGACTTAAAAAATATTTACATTCAAAATATTATATTGTCGATTCTCGTGGACTGCGATACATGCCAGAAAAAAAAGTCTAGTCGCGCTATTGTGTCGCGCGACTAGATAAAAAAATAAAAATAATGATAACTTTCACTTTTTGTTGTTCGGATCTCATCGGAAACAAACTATTAATGCGTAATTTACTATATTATGATAATAATATTATTGTGCGGTGAGCGTAATCAGCTGGTGGCACCACTTTGACGTCGACCAATACGATAACAGACATCGAGGCACCTGCGATCACGCCACGCCGCCCGAAATGATAAACACTAAATATTTTTATGGATTTGTGTTGCGCAACATACAAATGGCGCGTCTTGTTATAGTCATTATATTTTGGAATAGATGAAAAAAAAAACATCCAAAGTCTAACGAACTAGAATTATTAAGTAAATTCTAAATAATAATAAATTACAATTTAATATGCTCGTCACAAAAGGGACTGTTGAAGTAACGGACATATTGACAGGAAATAAAGTTTAAACACTAAAATATACGCATAACTATCATTGGTGCAATACCTAATTAACATGTCATAGTGTTCGAAGTCTCGGCAGAATCGGTTTCCAACAAACTGGAAAGTGAAAATCGGGAAATATCGATTGTGTTTTTTCCTTAAATCGATTATTGCCGGTATTACAAGGAGCTAGTTTGGGGATAAACGTAGAGAAAAAGACAACTTTCTGCAGACAAACGACGTTTTTTCGATATCTTCAAATAAAAAAAATTACCTGTTGATTTACGTTGAAAAGTCGTATTTGATAAACATACTGCGCATAATATTATTATCAATCAAATAAAAGTTACAAATAAAAATTGGCACGATAATATAATGTAACATCGCTGTGGTTTTTTTTTTAAATGTATTATAATATTGTTTTCCTTAAATTTATCTGTTTCGACAATACGTTAGCTGTAATAATAGGTAGGTATAAGTATTACAACTGTGACTATAATATGATATTGTGTCGACTTCACGACGATTTGATAGCTATTGTTTTAGGCGGAGTGATTGGAGTTGACAATTGATTATGTGTAGGTATAATGTATAATTAATATAAATGTCGGATATTTTGACACAAACGTTTAAAATAATATGTCGTTATGAGATTGTATTCCACGACATATAATATGATTTAATTTCAACGTTTAACGTTTACCAGAGCAATTTTTTTCTAAGAGTGCTGTACAAAAAAAAAAGAAAAGAAAAAATTGCAAAAAATTGCATACAACGGTATCCAGCTGTTGACGCAAAATTGTTTTGAAATACTTTGTTATAATATGATCGAATTCGTAGCTTTCGAAGATTTTTCAATTTCGTATTATTCAATAGATCGCACTAGAATGCTGTTCTGAAAATATCGAATAAATAATATTATTATCGATGTCATCCATTTTTCTATAAGCCACTGGTCTACGACAGACTCGAGCTAGGAGTCTGTTGCATACAATGACGAGTTAATTAATTATTATTATTATCCATCGATACATAACTATAGTGAATTAATCGATAGGTATTACTTAGCATAATAAGTGCAATACATGAAACAGTATAGACGAACAGTTTCAAATTTGATGTGAGTGTTATGATAATAATGCGATGGCGTTCACCGTTAACACAATACAAAGTTTCAAACGCGGAATTATGAACCATCGAGTGACTTAATATTATATAATATTTGTAAAGTATAAACGCGACTTGCGAGTATTACAGAAATCTGGTGGCAACACAAAAGTCGTGAATTGTATGAATATTGCAATGTGATTGGTTTGTACGAAAAAAAATTAAAAAATAGGTACCTATATATGCATACCTGTACTGGCCGTACACATTGGACTTAAAATGATAATGATGATGGATTTCGATCGATATTATTATTATAACATACCTATAATAAAATTATGGACACTTTATACTACCAAAAGAAAGTATTTCTTATTGGTATTTAAATAAAGACGTTCGTTGAGCCAATAATTATTTAAAAAGTATCTAGTCGAGATGTAGTTAAATTAGTATGATATATCTTCAACAAATCGATTACTTTTAAAAATGTAGTTGACACGAGGTGTGAAAAAAATATCTTATAATATAATATACTGTTGATAGTTATTTATAAATATTATTAGGCCATATGCACCTATTGGGGGGGAGGGGGGGAGCAAGACGGGATACTTACTTCCACTTGGGGAAAACTATATGAACTTATATACATTCATAATCATAAATATGGTATTAGGATATAAAATACCTGTACTTGTGTATATGACAAACTTTCATCGTGAAAAAGTGAACTTCAACAAATAAGTAGTTTCATTCAAGATGAACCAAAGAAATTTGTATATTTTATTTACCGATACCGAGAATTAAACATTTGATTATAATTCTTCTCATTTTTGAACAGTACCTGTACTTATTAAAATTTATTAAAATTTATTATTATATACCATAAAAATGTTAATTTTATAAATAATAGTATATTTAAATGTTTTTATGTTTAGATAATTACATTGAACTTTTATTTAGCTTAAATTTGAGAATTTTGTTATTTTGCCCCTACTCACCCCTGAAAAGTTACTTATGGGCCACAACAGGTTAGACCTACATTATATACTACTACTAATGATAATAATTAATCTCAATTAAATTTAAATTACGTCTACGAGTTCATTCAATCGATACAAATGCAAACGCGTCTCCCATCAGTGAAAAATTTAAGTATTAAAATACATAGTTTTCAAACGATCGAAAATAGATTATGTTTGACGCATTTTGTTTGAACACATTACGTATAATAATGTATTCAAATTTTTGTATTTAAACAATTTATAGAACATTAAAAAAAAACAATTTATAGAAAGTTATAATCAAAGATAACTGTTTAATATGACATTTTTTTATCTCTTCGACGACCGGAACACGATTCTGGAACACGACCGTATTATATACACGTCAAATCAAATAATTCGAAAAGCAGATATTTTGTTTTATAATAATACGTGATTTGATATTAATATTGGTTTATGATACGCCTCTGGTCGATGACAAAAANTATAATAATACGTGATTTGATATTAATATTGGTTTAATGCATGAATATTATCTATGACAAAAAAAAAAAAAAAACAAACAAAAATACCATTAAACGGATCGTGTCCATCACATCATAATTAGGTATTATATTATTAAAACATCGGCCGATAATATTATTTACGATTTCTAACGATCACGCCACGTTCGCTCCCACTTATTTTTTCGATTTTCACGTTACGACCGGAGCGTATATAAGACGTCGGAGATCTCGATTCCGGCATAACACATCTTTTTGTGCAAATCTGTTCTTTGGTGAGTACATCAGCTGTTTACGGTTGGATGGATTTTTTTCTTTTCTCGAACGAATCGACATTACTAAAAATTTTCTTTTTTCGGTTTGCAGTTTTCTACATTACTCCTCAAAAACCAACCAAAAACCAAAAATGGGTGCCGAAAAAGTAACCATGAACATCGTCGTCGTAGGACAAGTCCAATCTGCCAAGGCCATCAAATCGGTCGCCAAAGCCACCCCAGCCACCAGCCAATTGATGGTGAGTTGATAATTATGAGAAATTTTTTTTTCATTTCGAATAATATCGTGTGATGGTATTTTTTTTCGATTTTTCGTACTTACATACGGACGCAGTTATATTCATTTAATTTTTGACAAGGTAGATTAATTAAACAATCAGTTCGTTCGTTTTTTGTTAAACATGCGCGGTAAGAGCATTTAAAATTTACCGTTTTTTATTACGATTAAAATATGATTATAACTATACATTTTATTTCGATATTTTAATGTTACATTATTCGTTAAATTGTATTGGGATCGGTTTTAAAATAGACAACCTTTATAGATAAATAGGATAATTATTAAAAATCATTTTTGTTTCGCTAGTATCATTAAAATACAAACGATTTTTATATTTTATATTTATATTTTTTATTATTTATATATTTTTATATTTTAATCTGTCGTTATCGTTTCGGTGTCGAATAGTTTATTTTTGATTTTTAACAATACATGCGTTATACCCTATATTACATTTATTAAAACTAAAATAAATTCAACGATTTATCACCCATTTTATTTTTTTAAATGGATATTTTTCTAATTTGTATTGTTTGTTTACTAAATTTGCGTGTAATTTAACGGTAGTGATTTTTTTTTTTTAATTTAATTTACTTTTACACTATACATTGTGGCAATCAAAGCCAAGAGTTGAGAAATAGCTGACATACACAACTACAGAAATACTCACTTGACTATATTAGTTTACTGCGACGACTAAAATATAATTTCATACAATATCACGTCATTACACGATGATTACATTTTTATTTTATTTTTTTTTTTTTGCTAATCGACTCGTTTAATTGTTTTGTTTCAGAACTGTTAATTCATGTAGTCCATCGATCTCAAACTCAAAAACACCATAGTCCAAACAATACGTAAATTATATAATGATATGTAACAATATGACGTATACCTAATATAATGAACGTCATTGACACCGCAAAATAAACCATAACTTTTTCGACCTACGCTTTTTTGTTTATTTCCTCATTTAACTTCCTACTATACTATATAATATAGTTGCCTGAAATTGATATGACGAATTCGACAACAATCATATTACGTCGGGTCGTATAATGGACCGAAAAACTTGCGTTTTTTACAACTCGAAATGAACAGTTTTAACTGTTTTAAGAAAAGTTTATTTTAAACTTAAACCGTACTTATATATTCTCTGCAGGCGATATTTAATACTCATAAAGAATTTAAATGCTCAAGTACTTTACTTTTTTAAGTCGTTTATTATGTTGCATTAGGCCTTTATTCTCGACTCGTGATGGTTTCCACGGCGAAACTAAATTGAAATGTGAATGCAGTCTTACCATCACATACTATTATGTGTGTATGATTTTAATGCGCTCTAATTTTGGTCGCGAAAACGTTGCACAACTTCAAACACGACTTTTTCTTGTTGATAATGAATCTGCGAATAATTTCTTGTAATACCTGTACAGAGTAAAGAAAACGGGATCGATATGTCTCGCTGTCCGAATACAGCGGGACTACAAGTCTATAGGTCCTTTGCACGTTTCGTGTTTACAGTTCAGTGACTCTGACCGGCGAGAGAACAAAAAATGCCGATTTCACACGTCCCCCACTTGCCGCCCCTCTCCCCGCCATCCATCGACGGCGGTCTCACCATGGCAGGGTGTTGCGCATAATATATGGGGATGATGCGCAGAACAACCGATTTCTCCGTTCGGGCCGCCGCGATCGGTGTTCTCTCGCTGGACAGACTATCCGAAACACATGACCGCGTTGCACTTGGAAATATATATCATGTATAAAAAAAAAAATTAAAACATTTAAAACCCAAGAATGTCGTATTTTTTCAAGCAAACGTTAAATGTTGGCTATTTCGTCTATCGCTTTCCGGCCAATAAACATCTCTGCGACGCCAAATATACGTTTCGAAAAAAATTTACGTCCCCAAATCAATAAACTTGTATTTACGTATATATATATATATATATATGTATATATATGTATTTATCTGATTGTATAATTGTACAGCTGTGAACTGCTTCGTAATTTGATAATTTTCATTTTTCTGTATTTAAAAAAATTAATGAAAAACAAAAAGTGTATAACAATAGATTTTTATATAAAAAGTTGCTCAATTTTATATGACCAAATGCGTTTAAAATATTAGGAACTGTAACGAAACCAGAGATTTTATTGTAAAAATCTTTATTTAATTCAAATTGCGNCAAAATAAAAAAAAAAATAGTAATTACTTATACCTAACATTATCTGATTAACAATAATATGGCAAAAACTACTTCTGTATCCCTAAGTTTAGACGGTTGTCATTCAAAAAAGTAAAAAAAAAAAAAAAAATGTAGAAAAATTTCGTTTTACTGATGGCGCCAACACATTTACACCGTGGACGCGATTGATTTGCGTGAAATGTATTGCCATCAAATATTGGTTCGTCTATGTCCAGAGGTCAGCAACCTATCTGGTTTCAAAGACCGAAAAACAAATATACATTTTTAACGGCTCACAATATGAATATACCTCATAATGATGTGATACATTGTATAGAAAATATACGACCTATATGGTATAGTCATAGAAATTTATCAAGTTCGTAACTGCAGTTAGGTATATTACCTTTTTTTTTTTTTTCCGTTTTAACCGACGACGCCACGGGATCTGCTTTCGCATTGCTTCCGCGGCGCCGCCATCGTAGTTAGGTATATTACCTATAGTTTAATAATAAGGTACTTACAAACAAACAGCGTTTAAATCCAACGTTTACAGTCCGTGCTATATCTTGGTTTACGATTTCTATACGTCGCGCGTCGTAATGATAGTATTTGCGTACAAAAATTATAAATTGTTTTGTCACATAAAATTTCCACGAGAGCCGTGGGTTTTCGACCCCCGCTGATTTCAGGACGCCCAAAATTTTTTCCGATCTGTACTAATTAGTATAATAATATGTCCACCCATCACTCCACCCTAAATAAATGTTTTTTTCCAAACATCATTTACATCTCACATTATATTTCATATTTATAACACAACCCATTAAGTCATAATATGCTGAACTTATACTGAAGTCATCGTATCGTATTGATTGTACTGAGAGAAAGATATGTGTTTTACGTTCTCAGATGAAGTAGTTAGTGTCTGCAAAGTTGCAATAGCATTGCGAGGAGTAAACATCGATAAACGAAAATTAAATAAAAATTAACCGTTGCGATATGAACGTCGTAAAACATAATATTTAAAATTAAGTAAAAAGTATTGGATTTGCAGAGAAAACATTGTTGTCCTGAGTACAAATATTTAAATCAGTTTGGTATAGTGTGAGATTGACTTGTTCAACAGAAATTATATTATAATATACAATGATTACCTATATATATATATATATATACAGGGTGATTCTTTTAAGTGGGTACACTAATTATCTCAAAAAGTATTTACTTTTTCAAAATATTGTTTTACATAATAATAGTATTTATTGAGTTATAAGTATTTAAAGTTTTAATTGGCAGAGTGGAGTGGTACGGGATTACCCCGCAAAATGTTTGTCCACTACTCTGCTTGTCTAAACTTTAAATACTTATAATTCAAAAACTACTAGCCCTAAATTCGATTTTTATGAATCAAAATACTTAGAAAAATATTTTGCTTTGGAATATGAAATTAAAACTCTATGTTGTCATTCAAAAAAGTAAAAAACTTAAAAAATTATAAGGATAAAAAATATAATTTTTTAATAAAAACGTTGGTTTTTAAACAACTTGAAACAATGTAAAAAAATATTTTTAAGAAAGTAAATACTTTTCGAGATAATATTAGTGTACCCACTTAAAAGAATCACCCTGTGTATATATATATATATTTGTGTGGAAGAATAACTTCTTTTTTTTGTGAGCTCCAAACGAATATTGCTGCTTTGTAGTGCAGGTATTTGTTTTTATCGTTACAATTTAAATTCAATTTAAACGTAACGTAAGTTTTTTTTTACGACTCGTAAAAATCAATCATTTTCTAGTATCGTCACAATAATAAGAATTCTTAGTCCGTGCGTCTGTATAGCTCGTGTTTGTTTTATACGTCATGCGGTTCGTTCAGTATAATAATATATTATAATATTTGCTTTTTTATATTTTACAAAAACAAATCTAACCGGTGGACGACCTTGAAAATCACGCTTATTATCGTGGCGATATACATATATTTGTGTTCCGGGAAATCATAACTGATAACATAGTAGTAATTATAATACAACGCATAATATTATTACGGCGTGTTCGTATCAAACACATAAAAAAATTGTAAATTAACGGTTAAACTTACGGTTTTTCATGATGTGTGTGTGTGTGTTTTTTAATTATCGTTTGAACTTGTAAGTCTCACGTAAAAAATAGTCAAGTCATTTGGACACCTGCGTGATTTTAAATTCGATCCTTTTTGTGAACCATCACCATCCTGGTACGCCCACACAAATTTAAGATTAAAACAGATTATTATTCATATTTAATATGACATGTGTTACCTACCTATATAATTTTTTATTTTTTTTTTTTGAAGTGTATGTCGATTTTTTTCACTAAATTCTACCCAACCGATTTGCGTTTCTGTAGTTCGAAGGCTTAACTTGACATGCACAAATTTGCAATATTGTCCACCTGAGTAAAGAATAATAGTTTCCTATACAATCACTGGCACATCGAAAATATAGTAGAGTGAAACCTCTGTATAGCGGACAGTCGTGGAGAATTACTAAATGTTCGCTGTGGGGAGTTCTCCACTATTAAGAAAATCTCTACACATTAATGGGCGTTTGAGAGAAATTATTACTAAATGTCCACTATAGGGGGACGCTCCATAAAGAATCGGTTAAAACTTTTACCTATACATATTATAATACATATTGAATTTGGTATATTATATTAATTTATCGTATACTAAATATATGTATGTGTTTAAAAGTGGATGAAGAAATGTACAATGTTCGTGTACAATTAAAAATATATCTGTAATCTTTTTTTGTATACATTTTTTCTGTTCTTTGAAATGTTATATGACGTACGATGTACATGTATCGTGTCCATTTATGAGAGAATATTCTTAATTTTAGTACCAGTTTTTAGAGACCGCGTCCGCTATTGGGAGGGTTCACTAATATTAGGAGGTTATAACTCCTGTTATGTGCATACATTTTTTCCGGAGAATAGAAGTTTCACTGTATCATCATCTTATACACTATAGGTAGGTAATGTTATGATGATGATTAGGAGGACGTCGTTTCCGCCAACAGCCGTTTCTTTTTACAACACCGGATGTACCGGAGTACAATGATATGGCAATTGATTTATTACATTTTTTTTCTCCTGTTTTTGGTTCTGTCTGTTTCATTTCTTGAGGTCATTGGGGTGCTGTAAATATATTTTTCGGGCAAAGAAAAAACCATCCATTTCGAAGATTTTGAAGCTGCGCAGGGACTGCCACCGTCACGTCGGAATCATCTGTATATTATATATACAGTGAACGGCGTACACTCAATTAATCAAAACTGTCTTCTATAAACATCGCATTGCTGTAGCAGCAGCGCATCGGCCGCGGTTTTTTTTTCTCCATTTATTTTATAATAAGTGCGTTATTATTTTGTACTCGCGGCGGTATAATAATATATAACACACAACACATGATGTATATATACACGACCGACTGATGTGATATCACTCGACCAGCAGCGACGGTATGGTAATTAATTATTTTTTTTATTTCCGCCATCTCATTTCCGATTTCGTCTGAACACTTTCGTCTGTCTGCATTATGTCCGAGCCGAATAAATCAATCAAAACAACGCTGTGGTTCGATGACACCGCGAAACAATCACAAGCGCTTATATAACAATAAACGAAATCTCTCGAATTTAAACGATTACTGTAAATTATCATGACCCATGTTATAATACGTAATATAAATATTACAGTCTCCAAAA